CTAACCTAAGGAGAGTAATTTGATCTGTTCTCAGTGAAACAGGATTCATCAACACAGGCTCCTGCTCCTGCCCCTGCCCCTGCCCCTGCCCCTGCCCCTGCCGCCTCAATCCACTTTTCCAGTCCGGTCCTTGTTTCCCATCCATTCACTCTCAGGTCCGTGTTGCACATCTTGTGGTGTCCACAGGGGGCTATTACCCCTACACACCATCCCAGGTCCGTGTTTTTAGGATTTTCTGCTCTGGGACTTGAACCCACACTCACTGTGTCACCTTGCCCATTCCAACCAGCCGCTCATTGCTTTCACCAACCACTGACACACTTCACCTCCTTCCAAACTTCTACTTCTTCCATTTATTCACTCACTTCACTTCCCCAAAAAAATAAAAAAACACCAGGATTTGAACCCACAACCACTGTGCCTTCAAACCCATGCCAACCTGCATCACTATGCTCACGCCAACCACTGACACGCTTCACATCGCTTCGAACTTCTACTTCTAGCCGCCCCTTCGGTGGCTTAACAAATAAGACAACAGCAACATTCATGGGATTTGAACCCACTCTCCTTCAGATGCCAACCTGCATCACTAGCCGCCCGCCAAGCAATGACACGCTTCACATCGCTTAGAACTTCTACTTCTAGCCGCCCCTTCGTTGGCTTAACAAATAAGACAACAGCAATATTCATGGGATTTGAACCCACTCTCCTTCAGATGCCAACCTGCATCACTAGCCGCCCGCCAAGCAATGACACGCTTCACATCGCTTCGAACTTCTCCTTCTAGCCACCCCTTCGGTGGCTTCACAAATAAGACAACAGCAATATTCATGGGATTTGAACCCACAACCACTGCTAACATTTCCCAGGATTTGAACCCACTCTCCTTCAGATGCCAACCTGCATCACTATGCTTACGCCAACCACTGACACACCTCTCTTTGCCTAAAAACTCTATTTATCACTGCTACTCCTGTGTCATAATATACATCCATAATCCCATAATCCCATAAAATCACCTGTACCAGGATTCAAACCCCCACCCAACCCAATGTATAGCTCCCATCAAACGTTACTTTTGTAACACACCTATTACACCTCCATATTGTCGTGACCTTAACACAACGTGTACAGTGTGCAATTAACAAGTACACCATTTCAGTGTGTTACAATTTGACATTACTTGTCATTACATAATCATGTACAGTAACAACTTTAAAACATCACATTTCTTCTACCCTAGGAAAACGAGGGCCAAAAGGACAAAGAGGGGATCCAGGTAGAGCCCATCCAGGACCACCAGGACCTCCTGGAATTCAAGGTAATGGGGCAACACATTACTTATCATCACACTTTTCATTGGGGGGCCGAGTGGGGCACACCTATATACACTTCCCCTTTAAGAGCCAAAATAGCAAACAGCACAATCACCACTCCACATTTCTTATTGAAGGCTTATGCAATTTATTCTTATTTTCACAATTTACCAACAGTAGTCATTGCTCAGTCTCAAAACACATACTTTCCATTTTTCACCTTAACACTCTCAGCTTCACAATCTTCATTATGCTTCTCAGTCTGCCATTACCTGCCACAACACATTTAGCCCCCTGACATCAAGTTTGAAAACGGAATTACACCACCGGTCCCCAACCTTTTGGTACCGAGAACCAGTCAGCTGAAGTGAACTACATTTCTCCCCCCGTCCCTAACCAAATGACCTACTGACTGCCCCAGACCAAGGCTTGAGGACCCCTGTATATACATCATCCATCTATAATTTTCAGTAATGCTCTACATAACATGGGGAACAGCACAGCACATTAACATTCACATAGACAACTAACAATTACAACTGTGTCTTCCTCAATACACATGCACTATAGCTCTTTAACTGGCTCCTTCCACAGGTCCTCCCGGTGTGGATGGTGTGGCTAAGGACGGAAGACCCGGCGACAGAGGACCTCAGGGATCGGCCGGGGAAGCCGGGCGTCCGGGCAAGGCGGGTTCAACAGGTCTCCCTGGCTATTGTGAGGCCGCCATGTGTCTGGCCGCATCTGCATACACCTCACCCAGACTACAGGAAGCAGGAACCATCAAAGGACCCGGCCTTTAAAATACATCTCTCCACATCTGCAGCTGGGAGAGACAGGTACACAGAGAAAACTTTAAGTCAGCAAAAGAGCATGGGGCTGCAATAATATTGACTGGATGTATAATACTCCCCTTCGTTACCATCACAGCGTCTCACACCTTATCTGCGCCTTCTCCGTAGTGTCCAGGGTAATTTCAGCACACACTAGGAATCCTTCCCATCTGACCTCGGTCAACAGAAGCTGTATGTCCGAAAAGATGTTACTGTTCCGCTCCTTCAAAATGTGCAAAATAAACGATGCGGGCCAATTCACCCTCACTACTGTACTGTCAAATGTACCCTGTCCAATCTGTGAGCTACATTGATTTACCTTGTGTACATCCCACCACCCTCTTCCTCTCCTTTCTACCCTACTCTCATTTTAGAAACTAATGACTACTTTCATCTTTTCCTCCTGTTGCCTGGCAACAGCATATCCCAGTAGGCACTCCCGTGTCCCATAATGCGGTGCTGTAAATCTTTGTAAATGTTTGTTGATTACTATGTAAAGGAAAAACAATGGGTTTCCATACTCATCGACAGAAATCCCGTGTCAATGCATAATACAAAGTTCCTGCGCAAATAACTCCCCCTCCGAACCCATCAGTCACTGTTCCATGTGCCTCCCACGCCACAATCAATCTTCCAGAAGATGTCGGCATGAGTGACCCATTTCTTCCCTTATGCCAAAACTATTTATTGTTACTTGCATAGTCATTTGTGGAGAGGGTTTTCCCGTACCTATTTCAGATAAACCCAAACAAATAAAAAGAGACCTTTTGTAAAACCAATGTTCCTATGAATGTCTTTGCTCTCACTCACGCTCTTCTCATTTTATTCTCCTACTTTGCAATCCACGCATACAAATACTCTTCCGTGCTTCTAAAGCCGTACCTGCTTACATTTGAGTATTGCAGTGAAACCCTCAAACACTCCAATTACTAATTAGCAAACATGACACATCACAAGAACTCCAATACAACACAAGCAATTCTGCTTTCAAAACATGTTTCTCTTTCTCAATTTTTTTATACAACATACATAAACACAGGGAATGTTTGCCCGACGATGATGATGATGATGGGTGACTTTGTGGATACGCACATGCTCACTCGTACAGCTTCCACTGGGAATTACAATCACAATTACAAAACGCAGACCGCAAAGTGAAAACAGCACTTCACATTCATCACTAAAGTTAATCCATTACTACATGGCTAAACGCAGACCGCAAAGTGAAAACAGCAATAACACTCATTGGATATTCAGACAATTACAGACAATTGCAATAACAACTGTAGAAAATGACACAGAAAAGAGCTCAAAAGACGCACCAGAACCTTCACATACAAAATGTATCCCGACCACTCCTCAGCCACAGGACGCCACCTGACAGAAACATTACAAATTGTGGATGTACCGATAATCAAATACTATGATTCCCTTTCCGTTCACAAACAACTTCTTTCACATGTCCAACCTCTGCCTGTTTCATTGATCACAACACCGACAGCACTTCAACCATATCACATGATACATTTTTTCCAACAGCTTTAACTCTCTCCTCTTTTGGTCATCTCAGTCATCTGCTGTCACCTGCTACAACAGTGTAAATAGATGTTTCTTATCAAACCAATCGCAAACAGTTGGATAATTTCCCACAATGCAAATGACTAAGCTCAACAAACACTCACGTGCCATGGCTCAAAGGTTGTGAATAGGTGTCACAAAGATGGAGAAACTCTGGCCCACCGTACCCAAACGCCTAATGTCTTCGTGGGTTCATCCATCTGACACACAGTTAACTGGGGTCCCTTTAACATAACACTCCATTTCTCACATGACTATATTTTTGGGGTTTTTAACTCTAACCACAACATCACATTCAAACTTTGGAGCAAAAACTATTCATTGATTGACCAAAGGTCAGAGGTTTGACATGTCAAAAACACAAATACCACCGTGTCAAGCTTCTCCTTCCCATAGTATAATTGTCATGTCTTGGCAGTCGAGCATAGTGTGTTCTATTACAGTACTTGTGGTAAAAGGACTTAACTCACAACAAATGCCTTACATGGCTCCCCTTATGCAGATTAAACCAAATAAATTGGAACTGACATTATCTACACATCACAATGTTCTTTCATGTCTCAGGAGGTTTGGTTCAAATTGTATAAATAACTTGGAATAAACATCTATTTTGAATGACGCTATACATGTCTCTTTCACAACTACTAATTTGTTTTAAACGGCTTGAAGGACATGCTTAAGAAAATTATCAAAGCCACTCCATATATATATAAATATAAGTATATACAAAACATTCAGTCGGGGTATGCATTTTAGGCACATGGTCCAAATCAACTACATATCAGATCGTGGGCACTAAAATATGCAACGAAAGGCAAATGATGATGATTGATAAGAGGTCAAGAGAAAAGACTGGAAGAAAATGACCAAAAACAAAGGGGGGGGGGGGGGGGGGGGGGTACATAAAAGTCCATGAACAAAATACAGAATGACTCCTGTGACCTTCACTGGGTCATTTGAAAATGTATAGAAAGAATTGAAACACAACATGGAAATCAAAAGCAGTAATACAACACTGAATGGGTGTTAACTGAAAAAACAAAAAAAAAACAAAAACAGACACAAGACAGAAACATTGCCACTAAAATTGTGCCGCTGTCACTCGGTTGTCCTGTTCCAGTGGGGCCTTTAAAAAGTGGAATTTTGCAACTGCGAAAACTATGTGGGGCAAAATCTATACACCTTATTTCATCAAATTCATTCACTTTGGCTTTTTGGACTTCAGCTTGTTTTAACAGTTACTTTTGGTTCAGTTCCCAATTTTCTATTAGCCATCATGTTAGCCCTCTACCACGGGCCCTTCACGTGTGGTCCCTTGGGGCTGTACTCTTCCTGACGGCCCACGCAGTCTGAAGGATTACACCGGCCCTCATTTCCCTTTGAACCAGGTGGACCGGGAGGACCCGGTATGCCGGGGACACCCTGCTGGCCAACAGAACCCGGAGGTCCCATCTTTCCATAACCAGGTGGACCGGGGACACCTAGGAGTAAAATACATTAGCAAGTATCAACTGCAATACTTAAATAAGTACTCCACAGTAAAGATGGATGTCGCCTGTTGCTATGTAACATCTGATAATACCATTCTGGAATGACACACTGAAGTTTTCCCTCTAGGACCTCTTCATTAATTACATTTCCTGATTGACATTATACTACAATTTAAACATAAGCAAAACATTTGCATCCACTTCTGAGGTACTTGTTTCTATTAATCTCCATAAAGTCATAACCAAAAACATCATATTCATACTAAAAATCAGTACTGCTGTAATACTATTGATTTCTGAGGATGTCAAATTCAATTACAAATACTTCCAAACAATTTCACATCGTCTGATGATACTCACAGGATTGGACAATACACACAAACAGAGATCTCTTGTTCTACTTTCCAGAGTCTGCTGCCACCTGGTACATACTATTTCATTGTTCTGTCTTCACTCTCGCATACATAAACAACTGAGAACTTCATTTGTAGTACATAACAATACAAATTCAGTTCCATCTTGTTATGCTGGTGTGATGTTGGTGATGGTTGCAGACCACTGAGTCAAAGGAACAGTAGATCAGAGGAGGGAATTACCTGGTGCTCCCGGAGGTCCGACATCTCCCATCTCTCCCACACCTTTATCACCTTTTTCTCCACGAGGTCCTTGTGATCCTACAGACAGAGAGCCGGACCGTTTAGTCTTGGCCCACAAAGACACTGTCACGGTTACAGATTGCGCTACACTCTAACGATCTCACCTGGGACACCCGGGGCACCTGTTCGCCCCTGTCTGCCCATATGTCCCGGCATGCCGGGTGAACCCGGAGCCCCCGGATTACCCGGAGACCCGTCTTTTCCCGGGGGCCCGGGCCGACCCGGAGATGCCACCATCTCTACGGGCATCTGCATGCGAGACATGTAGTATCCCATTCTCTCTGGGGAAAGGAAACACACGGTGAGAAACAATGCTGTTCTCTGCGGTGACAGCTGCGTTGTCCCCGAGCAAATATAAAAACAATTACAGTGAAGACAGACGTTTGGTGGCACTGACAAATACGCTCCGTGTCACAACTGCCTCGCAACGCAGGCTAAACATTCACACCAGAAAAGGACACACACAAGGACTGCATCTTTACCATCAAAAATCTTGATGACCTGCTGCCGAATAAAGTTCTTGATGTCATCGTAATTGACCACGGCCTGTCACAGGCAAGAGGAGGACATAGGGAGATCAATGACAATAACAAACACAAATCAAGTTACTAATATCAGTCATTGCTGTAACAGCAACTGTACGTTACATCGTTTCCTGGTGAACCTGGAGACCCAGCGGGCCCGGGTGGGCCGGCTGAGCCTGGGCTTCCCCTCTCTCCTCTGGGTCCTACTGGTCCAATCATCGGCTGAGCGTCCTTGGAGTGGTACCCTAAGCCACCGCCGGGAGGTCCCGGTCGCCCTCTTTCACCTGCGGGACCCCTCTGGCCTGGGGCCCCGGGTTCACCCTGCAATACCACATCCAGCATAATGTAATTGTGTAATTATGACAATGGTTATCATTGACATTGACTCTAAAAAACATATTGATTTTACTGCACATACTGAACAGAATGTGATATTTTCCAATGAGTTCCAACATTGTTGTACCACACATATTGTCAGGTATATCCTGGGAAAAATCGACCTATTTCACAACATTGCTCTGACGACTCCTACTTATTTACTGCATAAAATAATTTCGCTTCCCTCGTTTACCCGTGTTTACGTTGTTCCTTCCGTTGAACTTAAAATAACTGAAAACATAGAACTCTGTATTGCACAAATCATGGACAAAATACTTCATGTGGTGCATGCTCACAATCTCTTCAAAACAAATACATGACTAAATTCAAAAGAGTTAATATAACACATATTGAGAAACACTATTACTATGACATTCATTTGATGAGAAAACTGCTGCAAATTTCTGACAATACAGTCATCATTCAGGACAAAAGGGGATAAAGGATTGTACCTACACAGCACAACCTGTCAATTTTGTTTTTGAAGACAGTTTTTTTTTTTTTTTAATATTACATTGTTTCTGTCATAAATTGGAATTGAACCAAAATCACAATGAAAACTCTACTCATTGCACCGCCTCACTGTCCCCCATTATTTACTCTAAAGACTTCGGCGTTCCTGCCAAGAGTCACAGTAACCAATAAAATTTATGCTACTTAAAAAAGGAGCAGTCAGTGTCAGTGTCACAACAGAGAAAAGAAGCTCCGGGACAGCCTTTGGCTACATCTACATCATCTTCACCGCGACGGACAAAGACCGCGCTTCCGGTCGTGTAAATAACGTCCTCAAAATACAGCGGCGCTACATTAGCGACAGTGATTTATAGAGGACAAAGCAGCCCGTAATGGACGTGCAATGTTAACACGTCACTAACAGACAGGCGGCTCTTGAAATAGAGAGGACAGGGAAGAATAGAGGAGTCTGTTCTTGTCTTTCTCCTCTGTTCTCCTCTCCTGTGCAGCTAAAACCCTTACAATGCCGTCCTGTCACTGTGACAAATAGCCTCATTTAACATTTCTTCTCATGCTTAATAGTATTATCCCACAGGCAGGAGAATAACTTCATCACCATATCCACCTACGATGCAATGTAAGCCTGTGTCTGAGTGGAGATCCAACGACACGTGCGGTCGCCGTGATAACACGCAGCTGGCTGCTGCTTTGGAAGAAGGGTAAGTGAGGTGAGGGGAGAAGGAAGGTGGTGGCGGGAGGGGTCAGAGGGTGGCTGAACTGATGACTGTGTTTAGTGCTAATGCTGAGCCTGCAGAACAGAGGGAGCAGGCTTGTTCAGCAAGTGCCACGACCTGAGTCTCCCTGAGCTAAAAGTAGGAGAAAAGCAGGGCCATTGTCCTGATTTCAGACGGTTCACAGCTCACATCGTCCGCACGCACACAAACACGCACTCTTTATACTAAGCTCTTACCTTTTGACCTGGCTGACCATTCTCTCCAGAAGGCCCTGTCACTCCCTGTGGGAAAAACAAAATACATTAATATGAAATCATGACTCCATAATCAGACCAGTCCTCACATTCAAGCGTTACTCACATCTTTACCGGCAGCACCGTCGTTGCCTGGCTCTCCCTGAAATACAAAATCAAAGGTGATGACAAAGGTCAACTGAGGACAGTAAGAGCTCCGGCATCGTGAATAATGTTTCATAAAATTTGCCCTTGCTTTAAGGGGCTGAAATGTACTGACCATAGGTCCGGGGTGCCCGGGAGGTCCTGGGGATCCTTGCATCCCCGGAAGACCCCTCTCACCATCTTTACCCTTGTCTCCTGGTAAACCCTGGAAGGGTGACACACATGTAAGAGTCATGTCTATTGTTTGCACTGTTGGACAGAGACAAAATGTTCTCTACCTCCTCACTGTACACACACCAGATATGTGCACCACATACAACATAATGACACCATAGCAGCTCTGTCACAGCCAGAACAACCACCAGTGCTAGGAACCATGCTAGTACCATTGCACATTTATACCAAAGGGACCCTGAACTTAGTGGATGAAAGAGAATCGTTTGATCCTACTGGAGATGTAAATGTACAGGGTGCAAGAAATGCTGTTGTGCAGCTAAGAATGGTAGAATATGTTTAAATGACTATAGAACTCACATAACTACATACATATACACATATATATATATTTTAATATTCCCTCTTAGAAGTGTTATTACAAAGCATTCCCCTCACCATTCCTGATGGACCGGGAGGCCCTGGAGGTCCAGCGGGCCCAGTAGATCCCTGGTGCATAACGTAAACACACGCAAGGGTTACACAATGCATTACGACAGCAGATGAGAATGTGATTAAAAAGGCAGTGAACTTACAGCGTGGCCAGGTGGTCCAGGTCTGCCTATGGTTCCTGGTGTGCCGGGGTCACCCTGCAAAGGTCACGTATTGACTTTCAGTGACCTCACATGTAAAAGCGTGTCTGAAAATCCATAATCTGTTTTCTTGAGAAGACATCATCATAAGAACATAACACTCACATCATGTCCTTGTCTGCCTGAGGGTCCAGGTGGACCGGAGGGTCCGGGTTCTCCCTAAGAGAGTTTGATGAAATAATGAGTCGTCAAACCTTTGCTGGTGAACAATATAGTACACAAATGCATTTTCCATTCCTTGATGAAGATTAACAGTGAACTAATGAAGAGAATTAAACAGCACTATGCACTGAAGCCATCTCCGTGATGGAGGAAGAGTGTTGATGACTAACCTTCTGCCCGGGAAAGCCGACGTGACCGGTTTTCCCTTTGAATCCCTGAGGAGACACATCAAAGAGTGAGGGATTGGTACCGTATCAAAATTCACAAAGTTGAGGCAGACAGAGGAGAAAAAAAAAAAGAAAACGGTTGATGTTCCTTTGAAATCCTGAACACCTGCTCTCGGGTACAACACGTACTCAGAGACGGAGAGCTGACGAGAGAAATAGTTGGAAAAACGGAGGGTGGTGAGCTGTAGCTCCTCTATACGTGCGTTTTTATTGTTTTGGTTTTTTAAGTCTGTGTTACGTCGATATACAAGGTACAGACTCACAAGAATCTTAGAGCATGGGGGATGAGGCGCTCTGTGCTTTCGGATGGAATCGGTGACATCTTTGACATTAACTTGCTCTGTAATGATCGCACATCCAGATTATCTAATGTACTGTGTCTATATGGCTGAGGGAAATATCGCAAGCCACGGTCCAGGGATCGGGATAATTGCGGACTCACATCAGGAGCAAAGACAATTAAGTCACAGATTTGAAGTCGCCTCTCCTTCGCTGTTGTGCTGTCACTGCTTGTTTACAGCAAACCAAACGGAGCTGTGACACTGCCTCCTCAGGGCCAGGTTTCAATTAAGGTCATGTGACTTTAGCAAAATTTACAGAATATGGTATTGTTTCTCCAAATTTTCAGACATTTCTTTTGAAGTAATTTGAGCTCCCGCCAACAACTATTCTATGTGTCCTATTTTCACTGTAAGAAACCATCGTCCTTGTGCATGTTCCCACTGATACTCACTGGGATTCCTCTGGGTCCTGCAGGGCCTGCAGGGCCTGGCTCTCCCTGATAACAACAAAATAAAACATCCAGTGTCAAAGGTCAAATACTATACTCATTGCAGCTCTGGTGCATTTGGATGTTGTTTTCGTGGGTGTGCGTGTGTGATCACGCCAATCAAAACAACTTACCCTCAATCCTGGTTTACCGTCCTTCCCGTCTATTCCTTCAATGCCGGGGGGACCCTTTGATATTAAGAGCAAAAATGAGAATTCTGACCAGAGCAACTGCACTGTACAAATCAACCCAAACAACAGTAATGAAAAATTATGTGAAATCGTACCATAAGACCAGGAGATCCTGTACGACCTGGGGCTCCAGCTGAACCCTGAGACCCTTGTAAACCGTCGTTACCCTGTAAACGCAGATATTTGAAAAAAGGTTATACATTTTCTAATCTAGATGTAAAATTCCAAAATGTAGATTTATTTTCCTCACCTTTTCACCTTTGACCCCTGGGAGCCCCTCCCTTCCAGATTTGCCAGCAGGGCCCGGTAGACCCTAAAAATAAATGTGGTTTTATACAGCATTCGTAAACAGGTTTATAAAATACAATAAGCTACATAAATGTACGGATGTACATACAGGAGGTCCTGGGAATCCTGGTGATCCTTGGAAACCCTGGAAATAAAAGGAGTGACATAAAAATACATCTAAAGCCCCTTTTTCTGCGTAATTTCTGTGGACAGATTGTGTTCTCCGTACCGGTTCGCCTTTGCTACCAGGAGGTCCCGCTGGCCCTGTGTCTCCTTTAATGCCCTGTAAACACAAAAATTGTTGCTCAGTTATTATTAAGCTCTGCGATGATAAATGAAGGGAGTCTAAATATCACCCAGCAGAATTTTTCATGACGCACTGACCTGAGAGCCAGCCTGTCCTTGATACCCGGGGTTACCGGGAAGACCCTGCAGCGAGGAAGGGAGCGTTGGCCAGTTACATTCACAGCATAGGCTTCGCATTCATACTGTATTGCATAATAAAGTGGATATGGCGGGGGCTTACTGATTCTCCTTTCTGACCACCGCTTCCAGGGCTGCCGCGTTCACCTTTAAGTCCCTGTCAAACAAAAAAAAAGGCATTGCATCGATGTCGGCTCAAATAGCAGAGAAGTCGTTCGTTTCTACTGTTCCGGACGACAGTTTGTCATCGATCCCGTCATCGTAATGAGGCGTCAAATGTAACTTACCGGTAACCCTGGCGGTCCCATGGACCCTGGGTATCCCGGTGTCCCTGTGGGGCCCTGAGGTAAAGATCAGTCGATCAATCAAACAAAGAACGCAATTATTTTTCTACATGATTCAATTTCAAGAAAATTTGATTGGCAGATAGTTAGTTACCTGCTCGCCCTTTAATCCCAAAAGGCCGGGCAACCCCTGCTCACCCTGCTGACCCTGAAGATGAAGAGAGGGAGGGAGGAATGATTAGAGGAATGAAGCACAGAATGTGAAATGTATGCTGGCGAGAAATGTCCCTCCAGGTAGAAACAAGCCAAGTACAGGGGGAGTCAGAATCAAAGACAGGAAGCAACTAACTGCCTGGGATCATGTTCCTGAGGGAATCTCCTTATTTCGTTTCGTCCCACTGCTCTACACCTCTATGGTAATTTAGCTGTGTTATATCCACAGGGCGAAAGCTGGCTTCTCAGTAGGACACGATCCTCCTTAAAAAAAAAAAACCCAAAACAAAACAAAACTTTCCCTCTAGAGTAAAAGAAAATCTCAAATCCATCTGTCTTTTCACTACACAAACATGCACTTGATTATAGCATTGCTTGCATTCAAAGATTAATGCTAAACTCTAACATGTGGATGCAATCTGTCGCCAGGCAACAGAGGTTGCCAGTGAAAGAGAGATGAATGCCGGATGAAACGATGGAAGAAAAGTTTAAAAATATGCAGAAATACAAATGCGTCGGGAGAAATGAAAACCACGCTGGTAATGATCCTTTATTAACTTCAACAAATTCAGAGAGTTGCTAAACACGTATCTAGCGTAGCTGCAAATGTCATACAATTTTGACTTAGGTTGCCACGCTGCATATGACAGAGCAGAGATGAAAGGAACGACTGACTTATCATCCTGACGATGGACGGATGATGATAGGAATTTCACCATTTCAATCACAATTCCATTTATGACATCACTTATCGGTTACATTCCTCATTGATTATCAATTCTCACTATATTAAGAAATACACTGTGCAAATAACGACGAAGGTCAACGCGACGTTGCTACAAAGTGCATCCAGTCTGCGAAGGACTAGAGTGGTACATGTAGCAGCTCTGTGCTCTTGACACAATACATCTTTATAAGGAAGAAGGGAGGGGTCCGCAGGGGCTTCTGCTTCCTCTCACTCAGACAAGTAATGAATTAAACAAGTGGTTGAAATAACACAACCAAATCTATAAAATAACTCTTGTTTAAAACATGCAAAGAGGCAGGTAAGAAAATAAATTTCACCCTGTGAAGTTAAACATGTGACAGGTACATTTGTTGACAGTACCCAGGACAAAAAGCTACAGTAAACCTAATAAGACATGAAATATATGCCTAATGTCTTCAGCTTCTTTTATTGGCAATCAATGATTATGATTAATACCAAAAAAATAAATAATTAAATAACTTCAAAGTTAGTAGAATATATCCAAGTACACTTACAGATATTCCGGGTGGACCAGGAGGTCCGGGGAATCCTGGAGGTCCCTGTGCAAAACAACAGGTAAAGCAACATTCCATTACACCTCAGACTTGATCAAAACAATGCAAGGATCTACACCTCAAACCTATAGTTTTTTTTTCTCTCTAAACAAACACACAGTAAGATACAGTACTTGGCTGAGGCCAGTAGGGGGCTCTGTGGATCTTCAGCAAAATAAAAAAACAAGTCACTGCAACTTCTAAGGGGGCAAAAAGCCAGTGGTACTTAAGACTCTAGTAGAATCTTTTGCATCAGAGCAATAAAAAAAAAGAGCTCATGTTAAATATAAATTCTCAGGAGTGGTAAGTCATGAAGAGATGTCAAAGCAACCTGATAGTTCTTGTAAAGTCAGCAATACAGCGTGTTCTTACAGCCACTTCATGGCACTTCAATGTAACTCTATTACTTCAGATGCATCATTAATTAGTCCGTGTTAAAGGAATATGGTTTGAACTGTCTGGAAAACATGTTTTGCTATATCTTTACAGTCAGATTAAACCTTACCAGATTTCCTGGCATTCCAGATTGGCCTCTGTCTCCTGGTATTCCCTGTAGTACAGAGAAAAGACAAACATTATCCCAACGATTTGCTTAGCTGTTTAGACAAATGCAGAAATATAAAGCAAAACCATATGCAAACTCATCCATCGCTGATGTCATCATTTGGTTTTACACAGCAACCACTTATTTGTGGCAAAACAAATGCCCATAACCTGTAAACAAATATATTTCCTCATGCTTTCAATTTTCTGCACAGTGTTTTAATGGTGACTGCTCCAACTCTTTCTGCACTGCAAATAAATAAATACATAAATAAATACACTGACAGACAATACATTTATTGTCTTTGTTACCAGGCTCAATGCAACAAAACAACCCTGTTTGTATAGCCAATGATTCTTACATTTTATTTCATTACCTTTTTTATTACTATTTAAAATATTCCAAATAAAGTACTCAGGGTAAGTTACTGAAATAATGCAATACCTTGTCTTTTTACCAGTTAGAACCTCATTTGTTTTTAACCTTTAATAGTTTTTCAATTGACGTTCTTCTCTTTTGTACACCCTTTTTAATGTCATGGGAACTCAACCATCGGGTGGTGGACCAGTATGGAGTCGCAGTTCATTTGGTGCTGGGATGTGTTTTACTTTTTTTTTTTTATGTTATTTCAGACAATGGTAAGAATTAAAGTGCATCATAATCAACTTTATTTACATTATAAAATAACACGTGATGCACTTTTTTTTATCTTGTCTTTCCATTATTGTCCATGCTTAAAACCCATTTGTGGCTCAGCATAGGTTGGGGACCATTTATTTAACATATGATTACATGTTTGGATTGATATTTTAACCAATCAAGTGATGTTTTGCCTCGCTTTGTGTCACATGCAAGGAGGAAGAAACTTACTTGCTCTCCCTTTATTCCGGGTCGTCCAGATACTCCAGGTATTCCAGGAGCTCCTGAGCAGGATTGCTCACACTGTGAAAATAATACAAAATAAAAAAAATCAAGCCATCAAGCCCATCATTGCTTTCCAAATATTTTGTTGATGTTTAATGTGCATAGAGTACAAACGAAGTGTGCTGACCATGGGTTGAGTCGCCTGCGTCTTCTGGAGTCTCTCCAAACACTGCAAACAGACAAGAGGAGTTATTCCCAGTTACACCTCACTGCACGCTGAGGCACCGTCACATCAGAATGACGTCTCACATAAAAGCCATGCATATTTGAATTAACTGCGAAACGAGAGATTGTCATTGTGCTTTCATCAAAGCACAACGACAAACACAGTGGGTAAACATGGAGCCGCAGCACATGATTCTGGCTGTGGTGGAGAATCATATTTGGAAGCTAATCCCAATTCAACGACGCTGACATCCCTTTGCAGGCTCACCCGGTCACAGCTGTCCAGAGGGGTCACACCAGGCTTTCCCTGATCTCCTTTTTCACCCTTGGCACCAGCCAGGCCTGGTACGCCCGGCGACCCTGCGGAACAGCCATCCTCACATTTTTCCTGTGTTTTACAAACAAAACACAAACAAACATACACGCATGCACACAAAAGCAAATTGATCAGCCACACAAACAAAACAGGTATCTGCTCATAACGTGTCTGATCAGTGTTCGTACATAAATACAAGTCATCACGGAAACAAGCTGAGTGTCTATAGCAAAGGCCAAATAATGCCCCCCCCCTCACAAAATAAAAAAAAATGAGCTAATGAACTTACATCATCTAAACTGGAGTCTTGTGGTAACTGGTTTGGATCAGCGATATTCTGGAGAAAGACAATTTTAGGTTGAAATGCAGAAAATTAGATTTATAAACTCAAACTTTCAGTCTCTTTTTCATCTACAATGTTTTTTCCATATTAAATTCAGAACTGCAACAATTAGTTTCTTGCCGTTGCTTCCTTTCATGAAAGTTATTAATTAAAAGAAAAGAAAATCACACTCACACACTCATCTATACATATATTTTTACGTCCAACTAAACATTTCTGTAAATTGTCCAGATTCGGGTTGACTCTAAATGCTGGAACTCACTGCAGTATCTTAAGCACTAATACGCTCTAAAAGAAAAACAGAGGATCTCAGATAAATTCCAGAAAGGACAAAGCTTCAGTTCTCATTTTCTCTAACGACTGCAGCCGTGTAATTCAATTGTGCCGGGGCCTCCAGTCTGCATTGGAGAGGTTTAAAATTCATAGAGTGTTGCGTTGTCACAGGGAGGAAGCAAAACAGACACATTTAACTGGATCTGTCAACTCAGACGGCACGTACGCAGCAGCACCAAAACAAACACGGACACCGGTGGCCACAGTAGAGTTACGCCGTCTGTTGACAGTAGACTCTCAAATAAAGCCTCCAACTCCACACGCCCAATTACACTTGTAAAAGGCTGTCCGCTCCCTATGAAAATGGCAGGACTTGCTTTCCACTCCCAACGTCTGTCAATAGCACCTGGACTGGATTCAGACTCATTATAAATCTATTTGACACCGTTCAAGCCGGAGCCATTATCTGGAATGGAGCTGTTTTATGCCGCTCGCTATTGTTTGGTACACGGGATATACTGTAGGATGGACCGCTGCATTAATACACTGGCTCAGAGGGAGTGTGTGTATAATTATGGCACCATTAACTGGTGCAGATGGCCACATACTGTAGAAACTTTTTTTTGGAAGCAACATAATCATATGTCTTCACATATAAAAATGTTTTTTTGTGAGTTTAGTGAGGCTGTGCTGCTCCTCCTGGGGTACATGCCACAGCAACATATTACTGCAATAAGTGTATACTATATTTGAATGGCTTTGTGAACACCTTTATGTCAAAATATCTAGACAGCCCCCATTGGATATGGTATCCTAAACTTCAAAAAGTACAAAATCTTATGTGGTAATTCTTGTTATTGTATTTGGATGGATGGATAGATGGATAGATAGAGACTTTTTTAACCAACACTGTGAGCGAACTTGTTTGTTGAAACATTGGAATAGTGCCGCACAGTTTAAATGACATTTTGTTCACTGGAAATCAGGAGTGTTTTGAATTGAAATTACTGTAAAGATCACTTTTCTGTTCATATATAGATATAGACAACAGAAGATGCAGACAATGTGTTTCATTTTGCACTGAAATAGTCTTTTGTTAATGGCAGTTGAACAGAACTGGCCAAGAGATTTTTCCTCAAACCTAGCTGCATTTTCACCGTATTTTCAGTACAGCTGTACCACCTATAAAACGTATCTATAATGTGCATTGATATACAGTGAAGTATCTATTATAACACTTTGTGTCTGTGGGTTCACCCATGAAAATACTCATAAGGGTATCAGTCTGTGGCAACCGATTAAAAATAAAAAACATTGAATAGTGTCCAGTAGTGTCACACTCACATGTCAGTCAAAAAGTTAAAAGCATTTGAACGCACGTCCGATGACAAACATATAACACATATCAGCAGCATTTTTCCACACCTGTACTCAATGGAACACAATATTCACTTTTTAATAGAACTGTTTTAGGAGGAAAATCATTGCACTTTCTCTGACACGGCACCTAAATAATTCACTTCTTTAAATGAATTATTTCTTACCTCATGTTCTCAAACCTAAAAATGTGCACAAGGACGAACGGGACCTTCTTTTTTTATACAGTTCTTTCTTAATGCATAATAGTTCCAGCCCTGATAATAATTTACACTTTTGCATTATTTATACACGAGGCTCAGAATGTCCTTCTTCTCTCCAATTTGTGGCTAATTTACTTACGATGTATCCAGGCAAACAGGGTTTCCCTGGTATCCCATCATTTCCGGGGATACCCTGAAAGAAGGAACCCAGGTTGAACTCTTGTGTTGCCAATCAATATTGAACCACTCCCATGTCCACCGACACACAGACAGAGGTCAACCCATCAGGGCCCCGATCGTCCAGCCATCCTGAGCCGTTTACTAATTTAACTCTCGCCTTCATCTATTCATAGGAACCCACAAAGCCTTCAGCTTGTTAAGAAATACCGCTCGTCAAAGACATGACATCTGCCATACACTTTAACCATCACCTCCTTTAATGTCCAGTCAGGTAGCACAGTAGCCTTTTATTTGAAGGTCGGCATTTTTCAGCTTTTACTTCACATTTTTTTTACTTCAACTGTGGATGTTAAACCAGACCTCCAAATAAATGTTCATGTTTTGACAGATAGCCCCAAAGACAGCTGTACAGCTTAAAGCACCATTGCATTTCTATCTTCTATTTCACTTTTGGCTATTTACTACTGGAACTGTTTTAGAGAAAATATAATGAGTCCATGTCCTGCGTGCATGTCCCGAAGCCTTTAAGGTGCAAAGCGTGACACAGCTGTATTTAAATACCCATAAATACCCCCCAAGCTTCAAGCTTCTATGAAAGGTAGCTTGTTCAATTCAGGTTACGGAAAAAACTGCTGAATTGAACAAAAGCCACAGTCCCACATCCACCTATGTTACCTGGGATCCTTGGATTCCATGGACACCCTGAGGACCAGGAGGCCCTGGTGGTCCGGGGGGTCCTGGTGGTCCCTGAGAAACAAAAGATATACTTACAAACAAACAAACCCACAGCTAACACAAATGATGTATTCAGGTGCCAGTGTTATGACACAGAGCTGCTCATTGACAGATCAGACCTGAGGCCCAGGCTGCCACATGTTAGGTGAAGCTCCTGGAGCTCCCTGGAAGGCAAAAGCAGTCAAAATCAGAGCAGTGCTCACACCCGGTGAAATTGTTTAAACTTTTTCTTTTTTTTTTTTTTTTACGGCGTGACTGCGTCTAACTTACAGGTCCACCGATGCCCCCGTGACCTGGGTATAAGCAGTTGCACTCTCCAGGTTCACCCTGGAATAAACGCGAGAGAATCAGTCAAAAAGACAGCTGTTATTAGGGTAAAGGAAAGAAAATGACAGTTTATCAATGTCAGTCAATGTTCAATTGAAGACCCCCAATTACTTAAAGGTAGAAATAAATATATAAATAAACTAAGCCAATACTAAAAAATCCACAATGAAAAGAGAACATTTGTCAAATTTCCATTCTACTAACATCATATTATATTCCATTGGTTTAGTGTTACAAGGTCCTATTTGAAAAATGATACAGACATTTTATAATTACAGTTATGGGTTAAAAAATGAAGAAAAATCTTCTTTCTTATGTCTCGTCAGTGTGACTTTAAAACAACTGATTTAAGACATTTAATGCCAAATGGGTTTTGGATTAAGAATTTCAGTGACATTTCAAGTAATCATAATTTCAAAAAGATTCTGATTTATATTACTAAAGCATGTGAAGATTGTCTCTCCGGCGTCTCCGAAAGCTTCGACAAGTTTCATCAATAAAAGTGTGTCAAGTGTAAAGCCGTGTTACTTAATATTTCATCAGCCGTTGAAAATTAACTTGAAAATCAGAGTCAACTGTTTGGAAACTTGTGAAAAATTTAACAACAGGTCTCGGTCCAGATCCAACTGAATTTATCTATTTTCCCAAACTAGAAGAACCTACTTTACAAGCCCAAGTTGCTAACCCTTTTAACATTCTCCAAATACCACCCGCATGGGATTGAACAATGTCTGGAGGAGTGTGCAACACCTGCACAAACCTGTTCTCACTATTTCCCACCTTCTGAATCAAAACACTGTGAGGATTCTCACTTTAAAGCTACATCTCAAACAGTCGCCTCTGTGTCGTTTCAGCTCATTCTTTATTCATTTTTCCCTCCAATTCTACTGCCGTTGTTCCTTTTCCTCAGCCTGTCCTACATTTTACGCTGCTTCCCAAAGACGTACACTGAACCCGGCACTACTTCATCTTGCCCACCCTCTCCATGACAGCTTGGGCTAGTGGCTCTGATGAATGCAGTAATTAATAGTCCTACACTCGCTCTCTCTAAAGGCCTCCCAAACTCATCTTGCCTGCCAGCATCAGTACACTTGTCACCTCTGCTGGTACTCTATCCGTGCCGTGAGGGCGGTGTGTGCATCTGTGTGCCAACGAGAGTGTGTGTCTGTGTGTGCCTGATTACCATCTGTTCCGCCCCTTGTATTCAAACACTCAAAAAAAACCCAAAATGGTAGACTTACCTTGTCCCCCTTAGCTCCATCAAGTCCCTGCAAAATAAAAGAGACGGCGGCAATGCGGACACGCATACTCACACAAATAAATAAACAACTATTCACTCTTGCTTTGGTGTTCCAAGAATAAGCCCTCAGTATAGATCAGGGGCATAAACAGAGAGATGGGAGCAGACAGTGCCTCTGTGGCAAATTAAGACAGACAACCTTGGTTACAAATGAGGCCTGAAGGAAGGACGATACCCTAAGTTTGTAAAAGTAAATTAAAAATGTTTCCTAATTAACGACTTCTGTACATGCAATAATGAAAAGGGAAACACACAAAAACACAGACACAAGACTACTCACAGGTTGGCCGTCGGCCCCCGCCTCTCCTTTAGACCCACGGGCTCCGTCATTACCCTGTGAGTCAGAATGGAAATAAGATATTTTCAAATATAAAGGCTGACAATAATATGCACATTCTCATGCAAAATGAAGAAGTTTTATCTCACCGGGGGACCGACTACACCGAAGCCCATCGGCCCTGGTTGCCCTGGAAGCCCCATTTCTCCTTTGGATCCCTGGGTGAATAAAACAGTGAGTCAGAGCTTGAACCTCACATTGTCCTTGAAGTCATTTTGACGCATAATTGAATTTTATTTAGACTATTTGTAGTTATACTTTGATGTAAACAAGGCCTGAGAATCCTACATTTCAAAAATGGGGGGATTGGACTGAAAGTGTACCACATAATTGTACCACAAATTGTACCATGTACCCAAAATTACTGCTGTGTTTTTTTTTTTTTTGTTTTTTTTTGACTTTCGGTACTGGTAGATGAGAAAAATGGTCCGGCAGATAACAAAACAGAAATGCTTTGGCTTGTCAACAACAAGCTGTTATTATTACTTGAGAAAATTGCGAGTTATTCACTGGACCCATTAGTTAAAAAAGACAAAGTTTACACTTGAATTTAATTTTGTCATTATTGGACATAATATTTTAGGGCAAGGAAAAACGGAGAGGCGATACATTGTTTTAATTCACTAAAATCACTGATTATAAAACCTGTGTGCTTTTTTGTTTTGTTCATTTTTATTGTACATGGTTTTATTGTGTCAGAAAGTTGGAAAATTGTATGAAAGTTTTTGTTATCACTGTCAGAAAACGGATATTTAAACATCATCGGCAACTCTCTTTTTCTACAAACAAATTCAAAATATGACCAAACATCAGTGCAGATTCAGTCTTCAAACAACAAGCCAACAGGACCAAAGGCCTTTTAAACATACCTTCACCCCCGGAGGGCCTACAGGACCAGGTGATCCTGTGACTCCAGCGGGTCCCTGAAACAAAAAAAAAAAAGAACACTAAAAAAAAAAAAAAGGCTTTGATTTATAACACTTTAGAGTTTTTGTGTGTAAAACTTACAACAAGCCCTGGCAGGCCTCTGGGTCCCTCTTCACCCTACAGCATGAATAAAAAAGGACAAGACAAGACAGAAAGGAAAAAAAGAAAGGTTTTGATAAAGAGCAGGGACTGTTTTCCTCCGGTTCAAAGCTCCCAGCGTGCATCAAAGGCTCTTGACAAGAACCGACTTCTACGAGGTTATTTACAACCTCGTGACTTCACTGTTCGATCAGAGCTTCGGGAAAACTTTAATCCTCCAGATCACAGGAGACTATGGTTTTCATTACCGAGATCACAGCTGCCCCTCTCTCCCTCTAGGGCCGCGTGTCTTTTGTAAATGACAGAGCTGCATCACTTGTCTACAATAACCTTCTTTATGATTTCCCTTTCAAGCATCGCGTTCTTACATGAGGTCCCTGCAGGCCCACTCCTGGAACGCCAGCTTCTCCCTGTGACAACACAGATTACAATATGTCGGTGTTACGTGAATGAACCGCACAAATTCTCATAACGCCAAAAAAAAAAAAAAAATAAAAATAGAAAGAAATCACACATTCCTACCTTGCTTCCTTTGGGACCAGTTAGTCCCTTAACACCTGGTAAGCCTGGTATTCCCTGGAAAGGAAACAGGTGACATGATCATTAGGCAATTCTCCAAAGTACCGAAAATCGGAAGTGGATAAATAAATACACATTCCCTACAATCATGCCAGGCTTCCCTTCTCCGGGGGGACCAGGCTCTCCTCTCTCTCCTTTCGGGCCTGACACAGCTACACCATCAGCCACTGTGGGACCCAGGGAAGGACAGCTGGTACAAGCGTCACCCTGGTGAAATAAAACACATTTTGTTTCAATAAAACTCCCATTCAGCTGACTATTTTTAACCACTGGAAACAATCATTAGTCTTAATGTGTTGCGAGTGTTACCGAAATACCGTCAGTAATTAAGCATCCGCAGCAGATTAGCACTACATCTCCATTTCTACCACATATGGTCTGTGGAATGGGGTGAGGACTGTGTGCCACATGTTGCTACTTTTTTATACTAGCGGTAATTAAAAAAGCCAGACGGGAGATGCAAAATAAAGTGCAGCAAAGTTGACCTTGTTAAGTTAAGGCGGTCCGTACCTTCTCTCCCTTTAAGCCCATTAATCCATCTCGACCAGGCACTCCCGGTAGTCCTGGGGCTCCGGTAGCACCGTCTAATCCTTGTTCTCCTTGATCTCCTTGGTCGCCCTGGTAAAAGTAAAGAACTGTGAAAAGACAAGCTGAAGAAAACATTTGGATAACACGTATGAGGTGGAGTCTGAAAGTACTGAGACAAACAACGTTAATATTTTTAAATTATTAATTAATTATTAATAACATTAATATTATTTTAAAACTATTATCTTGCAGCTGGCTGTTGACGTAGCACAACACTTACTAATAACAGCTAAAGTAATGCTACATATTTTGGTTGTTTTAAACTGTTAGATCGATTACAAATGGCTGCAAAAGTGGAATGTTTGCTGACCCAAAGGTCACAGGTCATCATCTATCATCTAATTTCGATCGCTGACAGGTCGACTGGTGCATCACTAATTAAAATCAGTCAATGCTTGATATCTCTGTGCACAGGCACTGTCTGTACATGAAAATATATTTTATAAAAATAATATAATATAAATAAAAAAGTAAAAGAAGATGGCGACGCAGCCTGATGAGCGCTAACAAGATGAACATTTCACACTAAATGAATGAATGTGTAGTAAATAAGTAAATAAGAGTATTAAGGTGTAGAACTCCAATGTAACTATGATTTAATCACTGTAAAATGTCTACCTTGACACCATGTGATTGACTGGAAGCCTTGACAATTTATTTAGGTTTTTTTAAAGTCTCTCTCTTTGAATTCACAATGAGATTTGTGGAGTTTCTGCAGTCATCAAATCAGACTATCTAACACTGCCGTTTCCCGTTGTTTTGACGTACAACATTGACGTACCTTTTCTCCCTTTGCACCGGCCAGGCCTGGTGGGCCCTGTGAAAGAGAGAAGATGGTAAAAGACACTATTCCATGCGTGCGGGTGCAAACTTAAACAAACGGTGACACACTCGGTTACAAAAGAGCAGCGGTGTGAACGCTAAGAAAGCCACTCTGCACTCCGGCGAAATAACTATTGACATAAAGCTATCCACAGAGGCATGCAGCATGTAATTGGGAGATGTGACAGAACCCAGAAGAGATTTATTCCACTTAGTAACAATTTGAAGGTGAGGGGAGAATCTCTGCATATCCTATTTGCGCAATAAGTCTTGTAAGGTGATTCTCCCTTGGGGTGAAATCTCTCAGCATCTTCGACTCTTTACTTATGCAAATGCGGCTTAATCTGATTTGCTGTGGCAACAAAACAGAATGCGAGGCACTACATTCAATTACTGCTGCGGTTTCCAGACTGGGAGGTATGCTAATAGTAAGGGCAAAGTTATAAATAAGTAAGAACGAAAAAATATCCTTAGGTAGTTAGCTTTGTGGAAGCTTTTGTTTGTACGACTCTAAGAAGAAGATTTAACTTGCGTCTGCATTCGGAGGAAAAGCTTTTTTTTTTTATTTTAACTTTTTTAACTAAACAAAGTAGCAATATATTGTGCTTCTTTCATAAAGGTAAGGGCTTTCACAGTGCAGGCATTTATTTGGTCCTTTATCATCAGTCAAGTTGTTGGTTTAAACCTTCAAACAAGTGAACGAGCTATACATTTGAAAACCATCATTAGGGTTTGATGTAAACCAAATTTCTGGGAAATAATATGGTTTTGTGTTTCCACCCTTACAGAAGGACTGCAGAGTTTTGGATGAGCCCTGAGCTGTCTGAAAAGACAGGTTCTACAAGCTGGCGGTCTCATCTGTCGGACACCACAAATACCATAAGACTTTGGACCAAAAGTTTGAAATTTCTATGAAGAAGCCAAAAAATCCAAACACTTCAAAGACGTCTGAGAATTCAGAGAAAACTGCAAATTCCTCCTTGCAAAGGGCTGCAGTTCTGCTGCGGGATAAATGGTTCAGAGGTTCAGAGACATTCGGTTGGACGCCTAATATCGTCTTGCAGAGCGCTCGCACCTGTTTGCCGTCAGCTCCGAGACCCTGAGGTCCTGGCGGGCCCGGGGGTCCTGGTTCACCCTGCTTGCCCCGTGTTCCTTCGGGCAGTTTGATACCAGCGGGACCGCTGCCAACTTCCAATGCTTGACACATGCCGCATTCGCCCTAGGAAATGGCAGGGTGTCGGTGAGGTCGCTTTGCATGACAATTAAGATTAAGGATGCAAATGGCAGCGCATATGTCGGCGCTTACCTTCTCGCCCTTAAGGCCTGGCAGACCCAGCCCAGGCAGACCCGGCTCTCCCTGTCGGATTGTTAGTTATATATTATTAGGCAGTATCAAACAGTATTATCTAATATTCCCATACAGCAGGTTAAAACATAAAACTTCTGACCGATGCTTTTAAATTCTCCAACCTTTGCTCCACTCTGTCCATCCTTGCCGGCGGGCCCCTTCGGTCCAGGTTTTCCCTGTCATTAGCAAACTTTCATTTAGAATCAAAAGTTCCAACCGTCAGGCTCTGAGATGAGATGTTCTTTTTTTTTCGACCTGTGACTTTGAACTTACCGGTTTACCGTCAGCTCCTTTGCTGCCAGTGTGGCCCTGCAGACAAAAAGTGTGCAGACTTCAGTGTGTGGACGCTGCAGATTGATGAGTACAAATTCTTCTGAAATGCCAATTAAAAAAAATTAAAAAATCTTTTCACAGTTGGATGTTACCCAAAGACACTAACATCAACTTTTTTTATAATGTTCTACTACTTAAGTTTCTGCATAAAAGAAACATTTATTCATATATGTTGACTTTTAAAATCCAGCTAAATCAGTTTCACTACAAACAAATGTATAATTTGTCATGCATTTTTATAAATGGACAGAATGACTGCACTGTTAATCAAATAAATCCACAGTCCTTTCACTTTTTTTGTGACACCTGCATATTTATTATATTATTGCAATATACACAATTTTCCTTTTTTTATGTGTGTATTTATATGTGTATTTTATCTAGATCAGCTGTGCGCAAAAAGTAGACTGGGATCTACCAGCGATCCCATTGGGAGTGCATGTAGACTATGAGCAAATACAATATACTCTGTTATAACTATAGTTTACAGTAGTGATCATATACTATAATAATTTGATCATAATGTGCCATAAAGCTACATGGTTGTAATCAATACCCTAACACATAATGTATATATAAAGCATGTTTAGCTTATATGAGTAGATAGATCACTTTAGCCTGGACACTTAAATAATAAAGCTCTATAGCAAGAAAAAACATAAGCACCCCTGATCTTGATTAATCGTGATTATTTGTTTAACATTTCAAACTTTGAGGACCCTTATTTCAAATGACGAAGACCAAAATCTGTACCTTTTGTCCTGGTTTGCCATCGGCACCTTGAGGCCCCTGATAAGGTACAGAGAATAGAATAGATGAGCAGGAAAAGAGCCAAAGTAAAGAGTGTTGTTCGTTCAGCTTTGTTAGGGCCAGGTAACATCTCCCTCTCTGTCTCTGTTGCACCTCCTTCTGCTATAAGCAGGCATGACAGATGGATGCTGGCACCATTGGAAATCGTTGAGCACGGAATCTCATAAGGCTCCAGATTTATATTCTGTTTCCCCCATAAATAATTCCCATTTCACCTGCCGGAGTGAGTCGGATGATGCACAGCAGAAAAAGAGACAGCACCGGTGCAGGGTACTGTATGTTAAGGTTTAACTCGACACAAAAAAAGCACAACAAGTTAAGATTACATTACTAATAAATTTCTTTTTTTGTCAGGTGGAATAGAAAATAAAAGTCTTTCTAAGTTTGAGCTGTTCCCCAAGGAGCTGCAGGGGAAAATATATCAAGAGTGTGGGAAATAATGCCTTAGGTTTTCCTAAAATGAAAAAAATCAAAATAATCACGCAGCGTGCAAACCTGCCGGAGACTAATAAAACATGTGCAGAGGTCATAAAGACTGAAGAATAAATTAGAGTTTGACATCCATCTTAACTGCTGCACTTACAGGCGATCCTTTCTCCCCGATCCCTGGTAATCCAGGCTCTCCTTTGGGACCGGGCTTCCCTTGCACAGCCACTGTGTCGTCTCCGCCTGCACCCAGCACAGGGCACACTTCACAAGGGTCACCCTAAGGACGCGGCATAATGAATCAAAACACGAGACGGTGGGATATGCAGTATTTACAGGAGTGTTTACGTGGTGTGTTACCTTCGCTCCCTTAGTCCCCGGGGGTCCTCGTGGCCCCTGCAGAAACAGCAGCCTATCAGTTTAACCCTCGGTGTCAGCTCTTTCCGAGAACACCGTCTACTGAAAGTTCATGCATAAATTACGGGATATCAATCAATGTTTGAAAAAGTTTCTCACTGGATCTCCTGGCAATCCTTCTTCTCCTGGATATCCCGCGTCTCCCTGTGAACACAAACCCTCAGCGTGAATCCTTCAAATATTCTGACATTATATATTAAATATCCGCTGTTAGCAAGAAACATCAGACCTACACCATTTCACATATTGAAAAAAAAAAAAAGGTTACCTTGTCTCCTTTCACACTGGTCGATTCACCAGGAGGACCCTGACAGGAGGCGGAAAAAAAAAAGAATTATCTTAAACACTGTTCTGAAAATGCCTTAAGGCATTGGTAAAGGGCAGAGAAAGTTGTCTGTGATGAGGGAGTCCTGCTAAGCCCTGTCTTACACTGGTGTGGGTATTGTCTATTTGAACTACTTCTTTGTATGGACAAAGAAACTTTCCAAAAGACTAACATTAAAAACCTTTTTTGTGACCTCAGAGCAGTTAAAGATAAATAATCAACGCTACACTTACTGGTAAGCCTGGAATTCCAATACCTGGAGTACCTGGGCGTCCAGGCCTTCCAGGTTCTCCAGCTAAGCCCTCAGGACCCACCAATCCCGGTGAACCCTGTTTCATTAAAGGAAGGAAAAACATTTTTATTTTGAAGTTTAATGTATGCAAAAATGAACGTCACCATCACCAGCAGAAACTCCGACTGGAATGCTGACCTTCTGTCCCTTGGGGCCGACAACACAAATGGAGCCGACGCGACCCTGAAGAGAATGTGACAAAGAAAGAAATGACAGCATCAGTGTTGATCTGTTGAGACGGGAAACATATGCATCTGATCAAAGGCCGCTGTTCATTTTCCCTTTTTTGTTTGACGATTTCCAGCTGGGATACAAAGACGGCGTGCGTGGCGCACTTCCTGCCCGACTGATTTAAGTCACATTCACAATGTCCGACAGATGACAGACTTAAGAAAATCTTGTCACCATATCCTCGGCTCCACGCCAACCACTTTTCGTGGTAAACCCAAGTGCTTTTGAGGTCCAAAACTTGGGGAAATACCTCTGAGCACTGCTGTCCTGTAATTTGTTCCTCAACACTTTTCATTCGACTGCAGGATCACTGTGCCAAACAGGAAAGATTAAAAGGTTTACGTGTTCTTGAATAGGTGCATGCTGGCTACAGAGACGCTGAGTACAGTCAATGAGGCTGCATTGATTATGCGGGGCTTTGTTGCTCCTGCCTAATCTAACAGGCATTAAGAGGATGACTTAACGCAATGGGGGGGGTATCAATAGGAGCCCTAGCTTAAACTGTAATACCCTACAATATAACAGAATATCTGCTCTCCGGCTGATAAGACTCGCACGTACACAGTGTGTGTGGAGCTGCACTGGTGTGATTGTTGGTGCTTCCGTACGGTGGATCCTTTTGGCATGAAGCGCACACTGTATCCACTGTAGGTTCAACTTCAGTGTGTGACTGTAAAACCCCAGAAATGCTGTAATCATGGTTGTGTTTAGCGTATCCAGCTCTTTATTAGCTAACGTTCCATCACTACATCTGGTTGGTTTACATTAAAAGTGTGGGTATTTTTGAGCTTCCAAACTGTTCTGAAAATGAAGTTTGTCATTTTGTGAGAAACACTTACATCCAGTCCTGGAGTTCCTGTAAGACCCTGTGGCCCGATTTCTCCCTTTTGACCTTTTTCTCCCTTAATGAGGTGTGACAAAATGAGAAAAGGGAGAGGAAGACATAATAATAATCAAAGAGGAAGAAATTAGGTGAAAATAATCAAACAATGTTTAATCAGGAGTTCTACAAGAACGCCACATCCTCACTGCTGAGACTAGACGCTGTTTGCTAAAGTTTTTACCTTGGAAAATGCTGCCTCAGCCCAGTTGGCAGGATTTGCCTACAGAAGAAGAAAAAAAAAGAAGACAAGAACCAGACCGATGGTTTGGTCCTTAAGGGACATCATACACACACCGGTGGAGCACAAATAAACAACACTTTGACCATCCGGCCAGTCGGCCAACAATATTGACTTAAAGCAGAACTAGCAGCTCTGCTCAAAATAAACAAAGCCGTGCATTTACAGCACATCCACAATAATATATATAGATATATAATATATTTTTTAAATGTCTTTACTTAAAGGATTAAACATTAGCACAGCTGAAGTCCTGTGCTGTGACATGGAGCAGAGGACTGCTACTTACCCCTTCGCCTTTCTCTCCCTTCTGGCCTTGGAGTCCATCTCTGCACTGAGATTATAGAGACACATGGTTGGCATGTATTATAATGGAGCACTCGAAAAAAAATATCTGGCTCATTCTGAGCTGCATGCCAAATAAGGTTGCTTTTCCTTTTTTTTTTGCAAAACCAAGCACGGTGAGACATGATAAAAAAGTTACTTACTGGACCTGAATGGCTGCCAGAGCAGTCACCACCCTAAAGGAGAGAGAGACAGAGAGAGGAGGGGGACAAGGAGGGAGGGTGATTGCTTGTGGCTCTGAAGAATGCTTATCACCAACGACGGTGGATTGTTCCACAGCTGGCTTGTAAAGGTATTATGATATTAGTATTCGGTACAAGGCATGTCTAGGCACATGGTACGACATCTCACATTCCACTGATATTACTCCGCGCGCACACACACACATACATAGGGTGATTCAAGCATCTTTCAGTACACACACTAGTCATGTCCTTCATACTTACCCGGTCACCTTTTTCCCCTTTAAACCCAGCAGAACCGGCCAGGTTAAATACCTGCAACACACACACAACCGCAGAGTTCACAGCCAACAACAGACACTGTGGTCTGATGGAAAGATTTATGAGTATCGAACAGCCGTCTCTTGCCTATTCAGAAGTACACAACCTGGGTACTACACACACACACACAAACAAAACTATTACTAGACTGTTTGGTATTCTCCGAAGGAGTCCAATGTCTGAGAGAAAAAAAATGAGATATTAGCAGCAGATTTCCTGTATTTTCTGCAGTCGCCAGGCAGTGGCACTGTTACACAAAAGTAAACTTTCTTGCAACAGTGTGCAGATGAAAAGGAGAGGATGAAAGGTGGGCATAAACGCATGCACACAAATACACACATCTCCCCCTGGGAGATGGAGATCAATAGCGTCTGAGTCCCACAACATGGGAGTGAGTGGACCAGCTGCTCCTCACAGGAGGGCACGCAGAAACACACTGAATAAGGACAAACCTTATAAATAACAGAGGGCTTTTTTAAGCATAAACAAGTGATTAAAGGCACATCAATCCACCAGGCGTATCTGGGAGCATTGCTTTCACGCACCATAAAGTATGCATATATTGAAGTCGTGACTTTGAACTTGCTGGGACAACGACCAGAGGTTACTAGCACCACAGACACAATGCAAATCCTACCCCCTCCTCTTTCTGACTCCAAATCTATCAGTGGTGGACTCAAACAGCTGCAAACATGACT